TTGCCAACGAGTGACATCTGATATGCTACCCGGATAATCCCTAGCTTATGGCTTATTGTTGTAATCTTACTGAACCGTCGCCTACATTGTACAATACCTATTTAATTGAAACATTGGATGCTCAGTGTGCGAATGGCACATCACCATTCCTGTCAATTACTTCCAGAATACATGAGCTTGTAAAAGATTTTCGAAACCCAGGCTATGCGCTTTCAAATTTCGGAGGTTTTTTCCTGATGGGAAGTGGGATTCACCTTAAATACAAAGTATTTATTAAAATCATGAGTTAGTAATATGCACCATGTTTAAACGAGTTTGACAAGCATCAGTAGTAAGCCACTTAAGAAAACTTTGACCACAGAATTTTGTCAATCCGAATTCGCTGAATTACAAGTCACAAAATGTCACGAGTAACAGAAGTGGCGATTGTGACTTATTGCGGTTTCTTACTGGTTGGTATATTCTGATGACTATACTTCGGATGAACACTGAAGTACTGTCCATGTGAAGATATAACATACTTCATCAAAGCTCTTTCGAGCCCTTGACCTTCTGACTAGTGGATGAACGCTTGACAGTTTCACCACAAGTGGCTGATAAGCGATGTAAATGTCTTCACTGATAAGATAAAATTTCTATTGTAAATTGCCAGATATCCTCAAACACCGACAGGGTATCACAAAACAATTAGAAAAACTTACTATTTTTGTATCGGAACTTATACTTTTGGAAAACGATCCGATAAAATCTCAGTGTTCGTCTTACCGGTGCATTTAACGCGTAGATATCTCAGCGGATGGTTGGGAAGTTATCATTGATGGCTTGATTATATTGGAGCCTATTTTCCTAACTAACACTGTGAGAATCTATTTGTTATTGTAGCCGTGGTAAAGTTCAATACAATGCGTTGTCACAAATAATCTTATTGTTCTTGTGGCCCTTTTTTGGTTATCGACACTTTCCAGTGAATACAACGGTTATTAGCAATATCCAGAATGGCCAGTACGCTATATCTGGATATAATTTCTACGGGAGGAAAGCCTGAATTCCGAACCGATCTTGAATTCCTCTAGAGCGTTACCTGAACGTCCCGCATCCAACAATATTCCGCAAGGAGAATTCACATCAAAGTGCATTTATGAATGTTCTCTTTTCTTGAAGCCTCAATTACGCCAGGTAGAAACATTACTATGACAGCTGCCTGTCATCTGTCAACATTAGGTACCAATATCTTCATATATTATCGACTTTATCCTTCGAATATTATTTTCATCCAGCCCATGTATTCTCGCTTTTTCTTTCGCCATCACCATCATTAGCGTTTTCGTTACAGTGTGGAAAATAGTGCGTAAAATCTATCTTTTATCACGTGTGCGAAATGCTGACTGTGAGGATACACTGGGTCATTCATTGACTGTTGATGGGCTTGTAGAAGCCAACAATTCAAATTTCGTCGATAATTCACAGCGGCATTGTGGCGAAATGTTTCTAGGACGTGAGCATTGCGAAAGTATGATTCAGTTTACCTCCGCAAAATAACACGCGATAGCAGAACCAAATGAGTTTTAGTGGCCCTGAACAAAAACCATATGATCACGATATGGTACATTTCATAGGATCCGATTAAATAATGAGGCGTACTGAACATCTGTGTGGATGAAGAAACTCTCACATGAACCAATGTGCACAATCTATGTGCAATTTAGCCCAAATTTAGTGTGAACACAACTGGGTTTGTTGGATCTAGTTGCTTCGCGATGACGTTTGGTTTGGTTACAGCAATGGTCAAATGTTCCCTGCATTTTTCATACGTTTATCAGACACTATTATATTGCTCACACGTGTTTACATTTTACATGGGAAAAATCCT